CAGGACTGGAGATGAGAATTGATTCGTTGATCCAGAGTCTCAGAGGAATTATGTGTTTGATGAAGAGTTTGTAACAACATCTTTGGCTTTTAGCTCTAAAGCTGTGGGTATGAGAAATAGAAATGTGTAATGTGGGAAACACTTTAGTGGTAGAGATTCTGTTAAATAATTATTCTGTTATTATACAATATAGAAATATACAATAAAATGACTAAAACTTTAACTGAGATTAAAATGAAAATACAGAAAACATAAAAAATAAAAACTAATTCAAAATATAAAAAAACTGTAATAGTATTATAATCTAGTAAATAGTATTTCAATGTTACTAAAATATCACTGATTTATCATACAATTGATAACACAAAACCAACATGATTCTGAGCCAAATAATGCAATGTGAAAGAGTCAAGGCAGGTGGAGGAAGACGGAATCAAACTCGAACAGTGTGAAAACAGCCTGCGGCTACTTTGGCCTTGCAGAGCTTCTATTTAGATCCCGTATCAGAGGAGGTTGGTGGATCTTCTACCCTTGGTGATTCTCTAAAGAACATTTTGAAATGCTTCACCTCTTCTATTTCCTTCATCCTCCAGAAAACCTCTTAGCTGATTTACAGAAGTGCTACTCCGTGAATCAGTTCCAAACTCTACCGACAGTCTTGTCAACAGATAAGAAACTATACATTTTTTTCTGCACTGAATTTTGAGTAAATAATGCGTAAAAACTGGCAATTTGTTTCTAATTTTAAAAACTAAGCAATAGTGTATGTTCAAAAAAAAAATGAAATGGTTAGTAAGTCATGGGCACCTAATTTTTACATTACTTTAATTCATCAAAATAAGTTGAGCAATTTCAACTTTTTTTATAATTTGTATGAAATAAGTCAGTTTAATGTAATTTGAAATTTTACATTAAATTGAAATCTTGAAATCTTTAATGCAAGTTGAAATTACTTGCACAACCAAGTTGATTATATTTTAAATTAAGGCAGCAACTGAACTTAAGTTTCCCATTATTTCTGTTGAAATAGGTGCAATTTTTTTTTGCAGTGATGGGATTTACTTGAAACCATTTTCTCTCAGAAATTGCTAGTAGTTTCTTTTTCATGGAAGTAAATTTGAAATTTTGAAGTAAAAAGACTGAAATAGTATTTTCTTGTAAAACATACTCAAATAATCATTGTTTTATTTTTTGTCTTTAAAAATAATTTTATACAGTGTGCAAACATTGCAACGTTGCAAGGTCCGGATAAAATTTGGGAAGAATTGGACAAAAATTGTGGAACGAGTCATAGAAAAAACAGTTCATCTTTGCTGCTAATAATTTTTCTTTTCAGTAAATCTCATTTTCTTCCATTTAATTATATTATGTAGGCCTAAATATCTGCATTATATTGACCATCAACCTCCACTGGGTCTCTAGATATCAATATCGGAAGTTTTGCAGAGATATAACATGTTTTCTTTGGCTGCTTATTGAGTTATGTCACCCGTCTCATCCTTTACCATATTAGGAATAAGATCCTCAGGTTGCATATCTGTCAGATATCTGATTTATGTTCCCACAGTTACCTGGATTTAGAATGTTTCCAGTTCTGTGAGCGATTATAGTAAACATTGGTTTTGGCCTATTTTTATGTGTGAGGATTTAGGCCAAATGTAATGGAAACTTACTGTTCCATGAGGCAGCATTACTTTGTGAAAATTCCCGTTGAAGAGCAGAGCAGATTGCTGTAATGGAAAGAGATATGGCTGGAAGGAGGGATTGAGAGATAAAGAAATGGAGGGAGGGTACCTTTTCTTGAGGTGTCCACTGTCCAGGTGTAATCCAACTGCCCGGGGCAAACCAGATGGTGAGGTCTGCCATAGTTCTTAAAGGAACAGTTCACCCCATAATAAACAGTGCCATTATTCGCTTAGTTTACATTATTTAATTTAAGATTAAGTATAATTTTTTAGGCTGTAACTTTAAAATGAGTGTTCTTAATAATTAGGTAATAAGTAAAAAAATTATTGATAATTCATGCACTGTAGAAATGGTGTGGCGTACAAATTTCGTAGTGTGTTGTTGGTCCCTAAGCGACTGCCAACCCCAGTTTCAACTCTGCCCCGCCTCTCACACGTGTGATACATTCCCATTATTTCTGAATGACTCTCTCTTGAGTCTAGTTGTCTTGATCTCCTCAGATCTGCCCTGTTTAGCTGAAGCATTATGCCCTGTTCTGTCTTGCCCTCACTGCAATGAATATGTGTTTTTGTCATGCTGCGCTTATGCTCTGCTGATTTGAGCAGTTAAAATGTCAAATCTTCAGTTGTTGATTATATCTACATATTACATGTATATTTTAGGACTAGGATGATTAATGCATAAAAAAGACCGTTACATAAGTGAGATAAGTGCAGGCATTTAAAACATGTTGTCTCAGCTTCAGGGAATGTGACGGGGTTAGAGATGCCCACTTATTTAATGATTTGGCTTCCGTTCATAAGCAGCAGAGGAAGGAGATCTGTGGTCTCGCTGCCCCCTCTGCATCTTATCAGTAGCCGGCTCCGTTCTCTACTTGAGTCTATCACAGCTTCTGCAAACTGTTCCTCCATGAGACTGGACTGTTTTAATTCTTTAATCTGTATTCTTTGTATCATGTTCTGTATGACATGTTTGTGTATGTGTTTGACAGTCCAGTTCCAGCGCAAAGTTTCACTCTGAAGGGAGTCTGCGGTCGACATATTTCACGTTGGGTATATTTTCATGTAGATTTACTCCATTGAGACACATTGTGGCTCTGATGTTAGATTCTTTCCTGATGAGAGAGTGCAAGTACGTTGGCTTGGGCATGATCGCAGCCTCACTGAGCATTTTCCTGGCTTTTGGGATGGACCAAAACACGGCTCCAGTGTCCACTGCCAGCCTCTTCTCAGTAAATTTCTCTTAAGCTGCATTTGTGGCAAATATTATGGGTTTATAATCTAGAACTTAAAAACCAGATGAATTGAACAGTCTATACCACTTCCCTTTGCCTTAAAATGAGTTAAATTTAGTGATAAAATAGCATTTATAGAAGAGATCATGTATGAGTCCCATGTGACCTAGTATTGCTACAAAACAAAGATGTGTTTTACAAGAGACAATGAAGTATTTCATCAGGGATAAACACACAAGACAAAAGGCAGCTGCCGCTTGTGGCTGGACTCAAATAAACAGTTCTTCTCTCTGAACGAGCATGTAGCTGTGTTCATGTGTGATTAGAGATTTGGTTTCACAACCCCCTCAATGGCTTTGTGCTTGTGGCTGGACTCAAATAAACAGTTCTTCTCTCTGAACGAGCACGTAGCTGTGTTCATGTGTGATTAGAGATTTGGTTTCACAACCCCCTCAATGGCTTTGTTTTGATTAATACAGCAATAGCACAGGCATTACATTGTCTGTGTTGGTATTTTATTTCCTTCTGTAATGAAGCACATAATGTCTGCCACAGTTCATATTACAGTTAAATACTGTGTAATTTACAGAAATCGCTAACAGTGTGAAGTAATCTGCCCGTAAAGAGGTGCCACAGTCTCTGAGAAAACCTCACGAGACTCGACTTTTTTCAGGTTACATGATCAGTGTTTTAAAAAAAGTTAGAAAAAAACAGCTTATTTAAAAAAAAATTAATATTTTATTAAAAAAATTATATTTTTAAATTCAAATGAATTAATGACTATTCAGCTAATCTTTCTTATTGGCTTTGTTTTGATTAATACAGCAATAGCACAGGCATTACATTGTCTGTGTTGGTATTTTATTTCCTTCTGTAATGAAGCACATAATGTCTGCCATGGTTCAACTGCGGGTGTTACGCATATATCCAGGTGTTATACTGAAGTAATCTGCCCGTAAAGAGGTGCTACAGTCTCTGAGAAAACCTCACGAGACTCGAATCAAGCAAGCAGTTTTTTTCAGGTTACACGATCAGTGTTTAAAAAAGTTAGAAAAAAATAGCTTATTTTAAATATTTTATTTAAAAAATTATATTTTGAAATTCAAATTAATTAATGACTATTCAGCTAATCATTCTTAAGGAAGTCATAAATAATTATTTCTGTAGATGCAATGTGCTAAAGGGGATGACAACAGGTAAACCACAGCACACTGTTAGCATGCTAATTGAAGCACTGCATCTGAAAATATCTAAACTAAAAGATATATAAATATTAGAAAAAAAATCTATTTTTGAACAATAGTATTCATGTCTTGGTTACCATCAGAGATTCAGAATGCCGACTGTTGTGTCATTCATACTCATAAAATAAGTTTGCATGATATCATCTCAGCTACTATTTATATGAAAGCTGTCAAATGTTAAAGCAAGTTGCCACTGATGAAGAAGGCAGAGGAAAAGACTGTGTGGAGAAGATGAAGAGAGACGTAGAGCTGAGAGTGCAGCATGGGTATTGGACAGAAGCCACAGAGCTAAAGTAAATACAGTGTGGCATGTGAGTTACCTACATAGAGTCCAGCGAAGGAGGTTAAAGCATACAGTGTGCCAGACCTGTTCATTAGCCTATTATACTACTATTTCCTCTCTGAGAAGAGTGCAAGGCAGCAGACGCCAGGGAAAACTCTGCATGAGCGCTGCTATCAATGAAAATGTGACATGAATGGTTTTAACTCTGTCTCTATCTCTCTTGAGAAGAGTGCAAGGCAGCAGACGCCAGGGAAAACTCTGCATGAGCGCTGCTATCTCAATGAAAATGTGACATGAATTGTTTTAACTCTGTCTCTATCTCTCACTCTGTTGCAGGAATATAACATGACCAGATTAAACGGATAAAACCAGCCACTCTTCAACACCCAGAATCATATGGTGAAAATGAAACATCTGTACTACTATTTCCTCTCTGAGAAGAGTGCAAGGCAGCAGACGCCAGGGAAAACTCTGCATGAGCGCTGCTATCTCAATGAAAATGTGACATGAATTGTTTTAACTCTGTCTCTATCTCTCACTCTGTTGCAGGAATATAACATGACCAGATTAAACGGATAAAACCAGGCACTCTTCAACACATGGTGAAAATGAAACATCTGCATCTTTGAATGCTTAAAATAAGCCAAAAGTAGATCACAGACCCTTCAAGATTTACAGAAATCATCTAATTAGTCCATATCGTCCTTTTCTCTTCACTCTTGCCCTTCTCCAGTCAAAACCGCCATGTACGGTAGTGCCCGATCCGTGGGCAAAGTGGAGGGCAACCACAGTGGTGGGAGCAATCAGAGTCCCGGCCGCTCGCCCCATCTCCCTCGCTCGCCCCGTCTGGGCCACCGCCGCACCAACAGCACAGGGGGCAGTGGAGCCGGCGCAGGAGGTCCAGGTGGTAAAACCCTTTCCATGGAGAACATCCAGTCTTTCAACGCTGCCTATGCCACATCCGGCCCCATGTACCTGAGTGACAACGAGGTGGTGGCGTCCGGCCCGGACCTGCCGAAGAGCACCATGACGCTGGGCCGCTCGGGAGGACGGGTGCCTTACGGCGTCCGCACGACTGTCATGGGATCCAGCCCGAATATCTCCACCGGGGCTCCCGGCTCCATTTCCACCGATGCTATCGCTTTCGGAGACCACCATATGCCTTCCACCCTTGCGTCCACTGTGCCTCATTCGCTGCGCCAGGCGCGGGACAACACCATCATGGACCTGCAGGCCCAGCTCAAGGAGGTGCTTAGGGAGAACGAGCTTCTGCGGAAGGAGGTGGATATGAAGGAGAGCAAACTCAGCTCTTCCATGAACTCCATTAAGACCTTCTGGAGCCCTGAGCTGAAAAAAGAGCGTGCCCTGCGCAAGGACGAGGTGTCGAAGATCACTGTGTGGAAAGAGCAGTACAGAGTCGTCCAGGAGGAGAACCAGGTGAGAGGAGGTTTACGTGGATTTAAGACATATTCACAATGCATTTTATTTCTGTAATGTGACACATCTCTGCGTGAATCAGAATATTTGGCAGGAAATAATGTAGCCTTAGTTTTGATGACTTTTATGCTTGCACCTTATAAAATAAAAAACAATATTGGTTGGAAAAACAATATTGGTAGGGATGCATGGATATTAAAATTCTGGCTGATAAGCCATAATTATTTTCAAGCTATGGCCAGTAAATAAATGACAAATAAACCACTAAATTTAAGTGAACGTTCATTTTGAGATTTGCTAAAGATTACCTTTAACAGTGCTCTTAAATTAGGGTTTTTAAAGATTAAGTAAATGAAAAGATTTAAAAGTTTTAGACATTGGCAAAATGGAAATGAGCATGAACAATTAAATATACATTAAATTACATTCAATTTACAATTAACCAACATGTCATGCATCCCTAAATGTTGCTTTTTTTCTAATCTCGTTTTTTTCTTACTTAGATGTAGGTCAGTTAAGTGTCTAAATATGGTTTCTCTTCACTTCTGTAAGCTGGAATATACTGGTCATAATACTGCAGTGTTCAGTAGCGAAAGGGCTTCATCTGCTGAAACGCTATGATACGAAACGGTGCACCTGGCACTGAGAAAAAAAATGTATTGCAGATTGGATCTGATTACTGAAGAACATCAGTACAAGGCATTTAAGAAATAGCTCTATTTGTCTTTTAGTGTTGTTTTCGGAAATGGCTTGCCGAGAGCCATCAGACATCTCGAATGAAGCTGAATCAAAGCAGTTTGTTTGGTTCACTAGACATCCGGCCCCATGTACCTGAGTGACAACGAGGTGGTGGCGTCCGGCCCGGACCTGCCGAAGAGCACCATGACGCTGGGCCGCTCGGGAGGACGGGTGCCTTACGGCGTCCGCACGACTGTCATGGGATCCAGCCCGAATATCTCCACCGGGGCTCCCGGCTCCATTTCCACCGATGCTATCGCTTTCGGAGACCACCATATGCCTTCCACCCTTGCGTCCACTGTGCCTCATTCGCTGCGCCAGGCGCGGGACAACACCATCATGGACCTGCAGGCCCAGCTCAAGGAGGTGCTTAGGGAGAACGAGCTTCTGCGGAAGGAGGTGGATGTGAAGGAGAGCAAACTCAGCTCTTCCATGAACTCCATTAAGACCTTCTGGAGCCCTGAGCTGAAAAAAGAGCGTGCCCTGCGCAAGGACGAGGTGTCGAAGATCACTGTGTGGAAAGAGCAGTACAGAGTCGTCCAGGAGGAGAACCAGGTGAGAGGAGGTTTACGTGGATTTAAGACATATTCACAATGCATTTTATTTCTGTAATGTGACACATCTCTGCGTGAATCAGAATATTTGGCAGGAAATAATGTAGCCTTAGTTTTGATAACTTTTATGCTTGCACCTTATAAAATAAAAAACAATATTGGTAGGAAAAACAATATTGGTAGGGATGCATGGATATTAAAATTCTGGCTGATAAGCCATAATTATTTTCAAACTATGGCCAGTAAATAAATGACAAATAAACCACTAAATTTAAGTGAACGTTCATTTTGAGATTTGCTAAAGATTACCTTTAACAGTGCTCTTAAATTAGGGTTTTTAAAGATTAAGTAAATGAAAAGATTTAAAAGTTTTAGACATTGGCAAAATGGAAATGAGCATGAACAATTAAATATACATTAAATTACATTCAATTTACAATTAACCAACATGTCATGCATCCCTAAATGTTGCTTTTTTTCTAATCTCGTTTTTTTCTTACTTAGATGTTGGTCAGTTAAGTGTCTAAATATGGTTTCTCTTCTCTTCTGTAAGCTGGAATATACTGGTCATAATACTGCAGTGTTCAGTAGCGAAAGGGCTTCATCTGCTGAAACGCTATGATACGAAACGGTGCACCTGGCACTGAGAAAAAAAATGTATTGCAGATTGGATCTGATTACTGAAGAACATCAGTACAAGGCATTTAAGAAATAGCTCTATTTGTCTTTTAGTGTTGTTTTCGGAAATGGCTTGCCGAGAGCCATCAGACATCTCGAATGAAGCTGAATCAAAGCAGTTTGTTTGGTTCACTAGATAAGTGGATCTTTTTTGTTTTTGCATAAAATGGACAACTATTCAACAAAGTCTATATGACTTAGCTGCAGATTCCTGCTCTTTTCCTTTCAATCTGACTTTTATTGTAGACTAATATAGCATTTTAAAACATCCATTTCTCTTCTGCAGGCCATAGTTTAACACATGCCCATCCTGACTTTTGCCGTTTTATTCTCCTTCATTCGTGCTGGATTTTAGCTCTGGTGTAAGCTGTAATTTAGCATTTTCCCATGTATTTTTAGGGCCTGCAGTCTACAGCATGTGGCATAGACATTAACTGTTATCGTTATACCACCACCTCTTTTCAACAGGAAGATGGTTTTATGTATTTAGTCTAGTCTATGCAAGTCTGGCATAGCCTGAGTTTTCACCATTGACATTTGGCAAAGAACTGCCAACTTTAAGGAAAGACTGTCTGTATCCCACAGTGTCTGTAGAGTTAACTTTGAACTCAGTTGGATGTCAGAGACCTTTAACACTCAAATGGTCTTGCTGCATGTGACTCTGGCCCTGCATTGCTTCTGCCTAGGCTGAACCGTGAGGCTAATGAGGGGCTCGTCGTCATTGCCTTTGATGCCTTTCATTCACACCGCCTGTTTGATGGAGGCTTGGGTGACGTTTTTGGGTAATCCGGTGCAAGATGGGTGGGTTTTAACCCATATGACACCCCACTCGGTCTGCTTAGTAAAGTAAGCTGGAGCATTTGACTGATGAAGTCAGGTTCTGTCATGAGAGGGTTTATCTAGATGAACTAGATCAATATTCAAAAGAACCTTGATCAGTTAAATGAACACGTCAAATTCTCAGGAGAGAGAGGCATTCAAAGGAGGGATAAAGGAGCAGGAATGAGTGGAATGAGCCTTGAATGCTCCTTTGAGACCTGTTCAATTATGAGATATGATACAGCAAACCCCTTTAGTCAGCCAACTCTCATTCATTTGCCTCCTCTGCTCGTATCTCTCTCTTCATTCATTCAGCCCACATGCTAGTTCACTGGATTCGTGAGCACGCTTTCTCTCTCTTCCGTTTAGGGATGCATGAATAATAAAATTCTGTCTGATATGATAAACAATAATTATTAATAATTATTTTTAAAAAGACTTTTCGGCTGATAGTACAAAAAAAATTGTCTAATTTTTTTAATAATATTTTTATTGAAATAGTAAAAAATGGCAGATTTTTTATTTTTTTTCTAAATACATTTTCATTTGTCTTAAACAAAATAATATGAAAGAAAATAAAAAAACTTTAATCAGTTGTTTTAAATGCTTAAAGTGAATTTAGGCATCAGAACATTACACTATAATATACAGTATGAAAATGGATAATTAATTTGAGATTTTCTAAAGATTATATTTAAGTACAAAAAAAATGGTCTAATTTTTTAAATAATATTTTTATTGAAATAGTAAAAAATGGCAGATTTTTAATTTTTTTTCTAAATACATTTTCATTTGTCTTAAACAAAATAAAATGAAAGAAAATAAAAAAACTTTAATCAGTTGTTTTAAATGCTTAAAGTGAATTTAGGCATCAGAACATTACACTATAATATACAGTATGAAAATGGATAATTAATTTGAGATTTTCTAAAGATTATATTTAACAGGGTTAATAATTATTAGTGTTTTTAAAGATTGAGCAAACATTAGATGATTACAAAGGTAATCTAAATGTAAAAATTGTGGAAATGAGCATTCACTATTAAATATATTGCCAATATATATATATAATATTTATTTACTAATAATTTTATAGAATAGATATAGAAAACAGTTATTGAAAATTGCAATACGCTTTCACTGTATTTTATGGCATTTTTGTTCAAATAAATGATCAAGTCATCAATTAAAAATTGGAGAAATGAGCATGCACACTTAAATATGTGATTTATATAGCCAAAATATATGCAATATTTACTAATAGTTTAAAAAAAGAATAGAAATAGAAAACAATTATTCTTAATTGCAGTAAGGTTTCACAGTATTTTTCTGTATTTATTTTTTTTATTTTTCTCAAAGAAATGACCAATTGATCGATTAAAAAATGGGCAAATGAGCATGCTCAATTAAATATGCAATTATATAGCCAACATATATGTATTATTTACTAATAATTAAACAAATGACAGATTATACTGTGTCATGCATCTCTATTTCCTGCAGTATACTGTGACAGTCACTCTCTCTGTAATAAATACCTTTTTTTTATTTGTGATGTGCATAAATGTGAACATGTTGTTTTGTTCATTTGGATTCAAATGAATCTCATTTACTTCCAGTGCATTGTGAACATCTGCCGTGACATTCCCAGCATTAGCAAACATGTTCATGTGAGCGCATCCTTTCAAACAAAGCCAATCGGGTGTTCATTTGTGTGTGTTTTCCGTAAGTGCATATATCTGCCCTCTGAGGAAGTGAGAACAGTTGGCAGACGCGGCTCCTGATGTGCTTACTGTAGTAGTGTTGTAAAAGGTCCAAAGATTCGCACCCCAATCCCACAATCTCCTTATCAAGTAGTGTCACTTTTCACAGCCAAGTTCCGCCCACACGAATATTCACCGTTCCGGTCAGACTGTTTGTTCCTAATCCGAAATGTTTGAGTCACATAGTCAGATGAGATGAGAACAGATAGTGTAGGGGTTTGTTTGCTGTGTCATGACAGTAAACGTAACCTAGAAGGGTAGCAGATGGTCAAGGGTGGAGTCAGGGGTCATCAAGCTCCACACTCTCTCTCAGATGGAAGTAAACATCACATGTTGAGCTCAATGACTAAGAACCATGAAAATATCTTGAAAATAGCATGATTTTCTTATTCAATACTTCCTGTCGTCCTGCTTGGCCCGATTAAGGTTTGTGGGCTGTATTTACTCA